TAATTTTAGAAATATTGTAACACTTTTTCTGTCAGTGTGCACATATTATGCCTAATTTGTTTTTATTAATGTTGAGTAAAAAGTACAAATGTTGGGCTGTATTTTGTACTTTGATTAAATGTGCTATTAAATGAGTTAATTAAATTCCATATTTGAAAAGAATTGTCGAATCATCGGCCAGTCTAATGTGACATAGTTTCTAGCCTTCAGACTAATACTGTGTACTGTGTTCCATTTGACAAATTCCAAACTCTGCAAAATAAGCAAATATACTATTTTCCGATTTAGTTTGTTTTTCCAATGAAAGAAAAAGGTCATTTATTTTCATTCTGCAGATCAGGCATTCTTGGAAAGAGAAAGGCAGGGTTAACATTTCACATTCAAGAGTTATAAGACAGGTAGTTCAAACCCTGGCACATACTAAAAATGATCTTTAAAACCACTTTAATGTTTTATTTTGGGTAAACTTTCAGTTATTTGGTGGAAGTAGTCTTCATGTTTAACTTAAACAGAGATGTGCAGGTTATGAATGTAAAGTGGGAAGTGCAGTAATTAACTTATTAGTTACAATTGGCTCCAATGTAGGCAGGCAAATATACTTGTGTACTTTGAGATTATGTACTGGAAAGAGAAATGTACAGTTAGACATTCTCTCCCCTCCCCCTCCCCACCTGCCAAGATAATGCAGCAGGGGTTTTTAAAGTCTGTCTCTTGGCCCAACCAGTGATGGGAATTGTCCAGTGGACTGGTGTCTGTGTTCATGTGTTGCCATATTAGAAAAAACGCTAATTTTTTGTTTCTCGTACGAATTTGTCTAATCAGGGTTCAATTTCCCAATTCAGGAGTTGAGCACACAATAAAATGCAGCGTGCCTTCAGTACTGCACTAGTACAGTTCATGAAAAATATCTCTTGCCATTATTAAAAAATACACCTGTTACAATCACTAGTTATAATTCAATCCGTGTTAGCTTGTGAATTACTGTCATTTGGTATTTGAATTCTGCCATTTGCAAGCTAGCAGCGCTTGCCTACATTTCAAAAATAATTTGTCTGGTTGCCCAAAACATTTCAATCAATGCACAAAGTGCTATGTTAATACAGACTAATATTTTTGGGCTAATGTGGTATTTCGGCCTTCACGCTGAGTCCTGAAATTCTCGCAGGTTTGCAAGTTTTATAAAGATTGGCACGGACTAGTATATCTTTTGAACACAGTAAATTCTTTTCTTTCTTTCTTTCTTTCTTTCTCCCATTTTAAGCCCTTTTCCTGAAATCTAACCTTGAAAAGAAAACAATTGCCTGGTACTTGGTACTTCACAATCAGTTATGTGGGAGAGAGAAATGAACAACTGTGAATTGCATGAGAAATGCTAAAATGTTATTTTTCAGAACTCTAGATAGTGCCCAATTTATACCTTATAGTGACTCGTTTTAGGTTCCTTGACTGAGTATAATTGATATCCCAAAGACTGAAGTTGATTGCTTGTGCCATTTAAGGTCTATGGTGATTCTGTAAGTCACAGACTAAATCTGTCAAGTAAAGTCCTTTGAAAAGTTGCTGAGTTCTAAACTTAGAATATTAATTTAGACTGTACCTCTGCCTTTTGGTGCAAATTTGGCAGTAGTAACAATAAGCAAGTTAGTGTTTGTCAATACAGTGAACTATTTCTAGAGTCTGTACATGCAGTGAAATGTGGAATTACAGAAATTGCTGTCACTGATTCCATGCTTCTGTGTCTCGCTCCTTTTTTTCCCTCTCGTGCACACACCGATCCTGTAGGTGAATTGTGAAGTTAATAGTAAAATTTGTTGTGCTAGAAAATATCATCAGTTCTTTTGATTTTGACTCTACCTTTTTGAGGATGCTGACTTTAGTTAAGAGCTTCTTTGTCTTGGGTACAAGCATTGCTGGCAAATCCCAAGTTGCTGTCAAAAATGGTGGACTGTCTTGGACCACTGATAGCAAACATGAAAAGATGTTGCCTGAATGTTGTTGATTAGGGAGAGGAAACGTTTTCAGAGTCTTCGCAGAAGCTGAATGTGTAAGACAGTTAGTTGCCCCTGAAAGAGTGCAGTAGTTTAGGACTGTTAAGAAAAAGGTTACGTAAGTGTTTTGGTTTTAAATTTTCAAACTAAGAAATGTTTGGTTAAAAGGATTCTATGAAATTGAACGTCTGTCATATGCCAAATCAAGGAAGAGGCTATCAGATTCTCATGACCAAGAACTGAAGCCCAATTCTATGGAATAGAAAAGGGAATTCTGAGTACTGTAATGTGATGCTGTGGGCGTTATTTGGATTGTACTTTTTATTGTCTTATGACATTTTGAAATGTTTTGCGTATAAATAGTTAGATTTATTCTATTTTATCTTAAAATAATTCATTACACCAAACAAATTTATTCTTAAATCTGAATCTGTAGCATTGCATCTTTGTGTTTCACCTCGTTAAAACTAAAACAATAATGAAGCAGGTATCAGTTTGGAATCTGACTTGTCTGGTAATAACATCAGCTAGCATCATAACACTTGCTATGATGGGTGCATTGATTCCTGCCTGGTTTAGGTTGGAGGGCAATGCGTGAGGTGATGTACTCCATGTACCTACAGTGGTGAAAGCTCAGATTTGTGAGATGATATTGAGACTACGTGAGAAAGAAGAGGGGAATATCAGAAAGCGCACAGTCTAGCAGGTGAAGAGCAAACATTATGGATTTGTAGTATGTCCATTGTTTACTGTTAAGAGTATGGTAATTCTTTTTACCTGTTTGATTTTGCCACTGTTGTTAGATAAAGGTGTACAGGGATATGGGCTAAATGCTAGGAGATTGGAGTAAGATGAGTTTAGGATATCTGGTCGACGCAGACGAATTGGACCAAAAGGTCTGTTTCCGTGCTGTGTATCTCTACGACTCTATATGCAAGCCTGCCAGATTCTTTCCCAGCAATGGCTACACAAAGGCCTAGCAACACGTAACATGGACAGAGACCACAGGCAGCTGTGAGCAAGGCTGGCTTGCAGTCACTGCATCACAGAAATGCATGAAAGAGGCTGCTACTGGAAATTAAAATTCCAGTGTAGGCTTAAATTTTTTTAATGTTGTAACATTATTCAGTTTTGAAATGTTTAAATATGCAGTCGTTTTGATGAGAAATGTTTTAATGACTTTATTCGCAAATCTTTTAAGTTCTGGATTTTACTTGAGATTTGTCAAACTTTTAAAGGGTTTTCATGTTTTCAAACATCTCCTAAATGTTTAAATGATTCTTTCCAGTCTGGGCCTCTATGTATTTGAACTGAGAAAAGGTTCCTTACACCTGAAAGTAACAGATATAATGTTTTACTGTATAAATTAGTTGTGAATAGTTTAGGGTAATACTTACTACATGAAGTAGTGAACTCTTGGTATTGTCTGTTCGCCATCACCGTTCAACCTTTTGGTCTCCTGCATGCTGTAGTGCACATCTCAAGTTGTCGGATGGCTTTAACATCTAGTAGCAGCAAACATTTGAATGCTTTCTTTTACTGGCACTGAAATCTGGCACACAATGAATTCTTTCTATGGCTGTTACAGATCTAGTTTTGTGTTTAATTTCCAAATCTGATTGAAGGACTGTAGGAATAACGTTCAAACCACTATAACACATACACTATTGTTTAACGCTGGTTAAACCAACTGAGCAAACAGGCTGCTGCAGTGTTGGCTGGTCGCTGAGTTTGCAGTGCAGTTTCAGCACCTTCTTAGGTTGCCATGAAGGACTGTCCTTCACAACCTCTTCCCCTCCCCTGATGTGTGGTGATACTCCAGTTAGACCACCACCAGTTGTCTGTGTCTGTTATTTATTCTAAGATTTTAGTGTTAAAAAGCAGAATTTTTGTCTGCGACCTTGCTTAAAGCCAGCCATTTGAACATCTTTGCTCTGTTTTTTAGCCTTTGTTTCTGATGTTGTCAATCTAATTAAAAAGGACCAAAGACCAGTGATGTAGTCCAGCAAGCTGTTAGTTCAAAGCAAGTTTTTTTACCAAGAAAATTCATTCTCTATACTTCTGAATATTAATTTTAATTGAACAGTATTGGAGGATGTTTTCATATTATTTCAATTTACCTACCATAATGAAAACATTCTGAATTGAGAGATGAGTTTCTTGTATTTAAACAAAGTTTAGTCACAGGTGAAGGAGACAGATGTGACTGCCAGTGTGAGTATAAGTTCCCCACGAACAGTAAGTGGATAGATAATTACTCTATTTAACCGTGTTGGTTGAGGAATAAACATTGACCAAGAGGTGTAACCTGCACTAGGCTGCTTTGACGGAGTTTTCGGGTGAAGATTCTTAGAATAGAGAATATGGGATTTCTGTTGACTGGTTGCTCATTATCTCCTCTAAGAGGAAAGATAATGGAGATAATCACTATGGAATTGCTCTAGTTTCATTATTAGGGAAATGAAAGTCAGTTGTCAAAATAGGGAGTAATTTGGCCCTTTTGAGGAAGAAGGTTATTAGTGCATTGCTTTGGGGAGGAGTAAATTTTAAACTTTTTGTAAATGCTATATTTATGGAGAATATATTTGTGTTTCAAGGTTTTTGTTTCGATGATTCTGGGATCTGCTCAACATTAGGATGATGGGATTGGGCATAGTTTAAATGGAACAATATTACTTTGATTTTACTTAGAAGTATGAAATTTAGCAGGAGTAAAATAGCACCTGAGATGTTTTGGAAGAATTTTCCAATGTTAAAAACTAATGTTCTGTTGCAGTTGATACGTTTGGCACTGGATTGATGCAAGTCAGTGTGACTCATTTTGGCAGCAACGTAACCGAACACACACTGTCCAGAATGCTAGTGATTATGAATAGATTGCGTATAGCACCACTGTGATGCTGTTGTGATAAGTGCTAATGTTTTGAAAGCACTAACCAGCTGAATGTAAAACTAATGTTAATGCATATATAACATTTTTTTGGCGCTCCATTCTGAAACCTTTAAACTTTTTTTTAAACTGCAAAGCACCTGCTTTGTGTCAGAAGAGACCTTTTCAAAGAATTTCTTATGTTCCTTTGCCCATTTTAGTTTCTCCCTGGGGGTCCCTTCCTTCCTCCCTCCTTTCCCCTTTTGGGTTATCTTTCTGCTTGCCCATGTGTTTTCTTTGTGCTGGTACTGTTTAGCTGTGGAATGATCTCTCCTAACACCACAAATGGGAATCACCAATTGGCAAGTGTGAACAGAAACTTTACACCCTAGTTGCCTCAGCTAAGAGCAGCTGATTTGGTACAAATCAATGGTTAAACCTAGAATTTTGGTCATCTCTATTGCTGACTGCTGTACTGTAGTGGATTTCCCCCAGCGATCAAATGAATGACCGTGGAGCATTTTGGTTTTATCATTTTGGAGGTGAGCAATTTGAGTTGGATTTTGACTGAGGCTTGAATGTTAAATGGAACTCATTGGTGACTGAATTTTGGAACTTGTGCAGCAATTAAGATTTTGTGACTTGACTTGTTAAAGATCTTTTGCTGCAAGAGAGCAGGTTTTATTAACACAATATTTAGCCAGCAGTCTTTAAATAAAAAAAGATTAAGAAAACATTTTTAAGTCCAGTCATAATGAAAGATACTTGTCCTTGAGCTCACCTGAAAAGGATAGGGGAAATAGTGTCAAGTTGAAATTACATGGATGCTGTTTCTTTTACAAAAACGAGATGCATGTCCATAAATTTTGACATTGCAATGATTAAATTCAGCCCAATAATCCCGAATCAGCTTTCCTAATTATTCGAGTGGCACTTGCTGTTTGAGCAAAATGAGAAAGAGATTGTTGTTGTTTTTTTTTTCTTCTTTTAAAAAAACAACAAATTTGTAAACCTACTCATGTAGGTTTCAAAAACTTTCTTGAATAGAATTTCTGTACATTTCTAACGGATTGTTCCACCCCAAGGGAGGTCACCGTATTAGGAATCTGATGATGGATGGTAAAAAATGAAGTGGTGTAATTCTATACTTGTATTGTTTGACCTCTTCTGTCTAATTACAGGTTGTACGTTGGGTATATGTAAACCAGGATGGCTCAGGAGACAAATCAAACACAGGTGCCCATGCTGTGTACCACTGGCTGTGGTTTCTATGGCAACCCTCGAACCAATGGGATGTGTTCAGTTTGCTACAAGGAGTATCTACAGAGACAGCAGAACAGTGGAAGAATGAGCCCACCAGGTGAGTCAGGAAGGTTCAACAATGGAACACCATGAGAAACTTCCCCAAATGGGAGGGGGAAAGTTCTGTTTTTCCAAGTAATTTTCCTTTATGCATCTGTGGTGAGCCAAGGAGAAAAATTATATTGACATAATTTTCTGCCAAATAATGATATTTGTGAAGACTGCAGAAACTCTGGGCAAGAGCACTTGAGGTTGAGGAATTCAGAGATGTTTTCCAAGATCTGTCAGTATGCCATTAGCTCTGTGGAAACAGTATTTTTCTCTGCTGTATCATTGAAATGCATTAAATTGTTGAAATTTCAAGTTTGAAATTTTCCAAGTTGTAGTTATTTCTGTATAATTTAAAATTATTTTTATTCTACATTTCCTTTCTGTTTCCCAACTCTCGTTCCAATGCTTTCTCTCTTCTGTTTGTTTTTTTGGAGGCGATAAACGCACCATTGTTTATCCTCTTTTCATATTCCAGATGCCCTGATTACAATGTCAGCTTACTTTCAGCAACTCTCCACAGTTTTCTAAAAAAAAACTTCACCCTAAATAGGGTGAATCTAACGAAAGTGAGTGCTGGTTGTTCCCCTTACTCTTTTATGATTTAACCTAACAATGCTGACTTCTGGAGGGACGAATGAGCTCATTAATCTGTTATTTTGAAACTAATTTCAAGGCCTGAACCACATGGTGAATATTGAGTGTAATTGGCGTAATACATTGTTTAAAGCAGTACCTATAAGTAGGTTTGCTTTGGGGTATTAAAATTGGTTGTATACAGTTTGACCAAAAATATTTTGCTTTGTATGCTTGTAGGTACAATGATTTTTTTTTTTGTCGTGTTTGGGATGGAGTAAAGACATACATGAATTAAACCCAAGGTTTGCAAATATTGTTCCTGGCAGAAATTTTTTTGTTTGTACCCTTTTTTCAATTTGTTAACATTAAAGTGCCTGAATTAAGAGTAGAAATTTAGCACTCTATCTTTCTGGCTAGAACTCCCTCTGCTTGGTTCCCACTTGCCAGGTCTTGGATCAAAATTACTGGCTGTACTTATCAGCTAGCTGGACTCTGTTCCTGTCTTGTTCCCTGCCATCCAGGTACAGGTTGATTTTGCTATACTTTTGAAGCTGTGTTGGAATTCGGCTGTAGCTGTCTAGCTTTCTCTCTCTGGGGGACCAGGGTGAAAGTTAGCCTGATGAAGCACAGCTAACATAGTGCTCACAGCATTTAATCTGCCATCTTTCTTTTACATGAAATGCAAGAATAAAGGAAAAAGGGAAGCCCACATTGTTTGAGGTAGTATATTGACAGTGAAACGGCTAACAGGCAGGAAATAGCAAGTGGGGTTAACGAGTTCTTTTTCAGGTTGGTGACCTGTGACCAGTGGCGTTCCGTTGGGATCAGTGTTGGGACTTCAACAGTTTACAATGTATATTAATGACTTGGAGGAAGGAAATGACTACATGAGCTAAATTTGTGGATGACACAAAGGCAGAAAAGCAGGTTGCAACAAAGATATAAACAATTTTTAAAGTCATAGATGTACAGTACAGAAATTGTCCATGCCGATCATACCCGAATTTAATCTAGTCAATTTGCCAGCATTTGACCCATATCCCTCTTAAACCCTTGCTATTCATGTACCCGTCCAGATGCCTTTTAAATCTTGTAATTGTACCAGCTTCCACCACTACCTCTGGTAGCTCGTTCCATGTACACACCACCCTCTGATAAAAGTTGCCCTTGTGTCCCTTTTAAATCTTTCCTCCCTCAAACCTATGCCCTCTTGTTTTGGACTCCCCTACCCTGAGGAAAAGACCTTGTCTATTTACCCTATCCATGCCCCTCATGATTTTATAAAACTCTATAAGCATCAACCTCCAACACTCTAGAGTAAATAGCCCCAGCCTATTCAGCTTCTCACTATAGCTGAAACCCTCCAACCCTGGCAACAAACTTCTATAATCCTTTCTGAACCAAGTTTCACGACATCCTTCCTACAGCCAAGACACCAGAATTGAATGCAGCATTCCAGTAGTGACCTAACTAATGTTCTGTAGAGCTGCGTCGTGACCTCCCACCTCCCATACTCAATGAACTGACCAATGAAGGCAAGTGTGCCAAATGCTGCCTTCACTACCCTGTCTACCTGCAATTCCACTTTCAAGGAGCTATGAAGCTGCACCCCAAGCAAAGCTCCCCAAACTTTACGTTAAGTAAATAAGTTCTGCCCTGATTTGCTTAACAAAATGCAGCACCACATGTTTATCTAAATAAAACTCCATCTGTCACTCCTTGGCCAATTTGCTGATCTGATCAAGGTCACGTTTGTACTCTGAGGTAACTTTCTTTGTCCGCTACACCATTAATTTTGGTGTCATCTGCAAAATTACTAACTACACCTCGTATATTCACATCATTTATATAATTTATATAAATGACAAAAAGCAGTGGACCCAGGACCGAACTTTGCAGCGCACCGCTGGTCACAGGCCTCGTCTGAAAAGCAATCCTCCATCACCACCCTCTGTGTCCTACCTTTAAGCCAATTTTGTATCCAAATGGCTAGCTTTCCCTGTATTCCATGTGATTTAACCTTGCTAACCAGTCTACCATGCAGAACTTTTTCTTGAAGTCCATATAGATGAAATCCACTGCTCTGCCTTTGCCTTTGTCAATCGTCTTTGTCACTTCTTCAAACATCTTAATCACATTAGTAAGACATGATTTCCCACGCACAAAACTACGTTGACTGTCCCTCATCAGTCCTTGTCTTTCCAAATGCATGCAAATCCTGTCCCTCAGAATCCCTTCCAACAGCTCACCGGTGTATATTTCCCTGGCTTCTCCTTACCACCTTTTTAAATAATGGCACCACATTAGCTAACCTCCTTTCTTCCGGCACCTCATTCGTGACTATTGTTAATACAAATATTTCAGCAAGGGGCCCAGCAATCACTTCTCTAGCTTCCTGCAGAGTTATAGGGTACACCGGATCAGATTCCGGGGATTTATCCAGCTTTTGTTTTGTATTTTAAGATGCCCAGCACTATCTACTCTGTAATCTGGACATTTTTCAAGATGTCGCTATTTATTTCCCCAAGTTTTGTATCTTCCGTGTACCCCTCCATAGTAAACACTGAAGTGAAATACTCATTTAGTATCTCGCCCATCTTCTGTGGTTCCACATGTAGGCAACCTTGTTGATCTTAAAGGGGCCCTGTTCTCTCTCTCTCGTTACTCTTTTGACCTTTAATGTATTTATAGAATCTCTTTGGATTCTCCTTAACCTTACTTGCCAAAGCAATCTCATGTCCTGCTTTTACTCTCCTGTTTTCCCTCGAGTATACTCTTACTGCCCTTGTACTGTTCTAGGGATTCACTCGATCACAGCTGTCTATACCTGACACACTTTTTTTTTTTTTTCTTGACCAGACCCTCAATTTCCCTAGTCTTCCAGTATTCTCTACTTCTTCCAGCCTTGCCCTTCACATAACGGGAATGTACTGTCTCTGATCTCTCGTTAACTCATCTCATTTTTGAAGGACTCCCACTTTCCACCTGTCTCTTTACCTATGAATAGCAGTCCCCAATCAATTTTTGAAAGTTCTTACCGTCAAAATTGGCTTTCCTCCAATTTAGAACTTTAACTTTTAGATCAGGTTTATCCTTTCCACAACTATTTTACAACTAATAGAATTATGGTCACTAGCCCCAAAGTTCTTCCCTATTGACCCCTCAGTCACTTGCCCTACATTATTTCTTGAGAAGATCAAGTTTAGCTCCTTCTCTAGTAGGTAGATCAAATTCCTCTCTATCCAAGCCCTTAACACTGTGGCAGTCCCAGTCTATATTTGGAAAGGTAAAATCCCCTACCATTACAACCCTATTATTCTTACAGATAACTCGGAGATCTCCTTACAAATTTGCTTTCCAATTGCCTGGGGATCTACAGTAAACCCCAATATGGAGATCATCCTTTTCTTATTTTTTGGTTCCATCCAAATAACTTCACTGGATGTACTACCCGGAATACCCTCTATAGGTACAACTGTAATGTTATCCTTAACCAAAAATGCCACTCCCCTTCTCTCTTGCTTCCCCGTGCTCCCCCCATCCTCCCTATAGTATCTATACCCTGGAACATTAAGCAGCTAGTCCTATCCATCCCTGAGTCACAGTTCTGTATTCCTATGATATACCAGTCCTATGGTCCCAACCATGGTTGACTTTATCTATCTTACTTGCCCAGTCTCTTGCCATTGAAATAAATGCAGTTTTATTTATCAGTCCTACTTCACTCTCTGCCTTGCTCCTGTTTGACTCGCTCCTTTTCTCAACTGTACCAGCCTCAGCCTTTTCTCTTTTTTCACTATCTCTTATTACAGCAGAGCCAGTCTCTGTACCAGAAACCTGGCTGTCGGTGTTACATTCTCCCGAGACTCCATTACCTTCTGCATTTTCCAGAACAGCATAGTTGTTTGAAATGGGGATAGCCACAGAGACTCCTGCACTACCCACCTACTCCTCCTACCTTTCCTGGAAATAATCCATCTACCTGACTGTATCTGCGGTTTTCCAACCTCCCTGAAACTGCCGTCAATCACACCCCTGGCTGCTGTAAGTTCCTTATTGTTTGTAACTGCTACTATACCTGATCCATGTGATCTGATAGATTCACAACCAAATACACTTCCTGCAGACATAATCATTAGGACTGTTGAAATTCTGCCTAATCTCCCACATCTGACAGGAAGAGCACATCAATACTAAAGGCCATCACTGCACCTTAACAATCAACAGACCCATAAAAAGGCACAGTCTTACTGCTGTAGTATAAATTAGGACCTGTTTATATTTTTTAAAAACTTAACCAAGAGACAGAACTCAGTTAAACATATTTTTAAAAACCCTTCCCCTATTCACTATTGTAGATTTACAAAAAAAATTAAGATTTGTTTTATAAGACTTAGCTGGTCTCCCAGCTATGAATAGTTCTGACAATGAGGTCTCTACAAGGTAATTTGTAAAAGGTCAATGCTTGTTTTTTTCTGTTATTGATAGGTTAAGTAAGTGGGCAAAAAGTTGGCAAATGCAGTAAAATGTGGGACAATGTGAAGTTTCTCATTCTGGAAGGGAGAACAAAAGAACAGTATTTAAATAGAGAAAAACTGCAGAAAGATGTGACCCAAAGGGACTTGAGAGTACTTGCGTGCTAGTTTGCGTTTCATGAACGAGTGCAACAGGTAATAAGAAAGGCTAATGGAATATTGGCCCTTATGCTAAAGGGGTTGGAGTATAAGAGTAGGGAAGTCTTGCTGTACAAGGTGCTGGTGAGACCATATCTGGAGTATTGAGAGCAATTTTGGTTTTCTTATTTAAGGAAAAGATATTATTTCATAGGAGATAATTTAGAGAAGGTTCACAAGGATGATCTCTGGGCTGGAGGGAATGTCTTACAAGCAAAAGCTAAACAAGTTGGGACTCTACTTGCTGGAGCTTAGAAGAGTGAGGTGATCTCATTGAAATATGTGAAATTCTTGATTCTTGACAGCAGAAATACTAAGAGATTTTTTCTCCCTCTTGGGAGAATCTAGGACCAGAGGGCTTTGCCTCGGAATTAAAGGGCACCAATTTAAGAATGAGATGAATTTCTTCTGAGGGTAAGTATCTTTGGAAACTCCTTGTCATAGAGCGCTGCGGGAGTGGATTCCTTCTATATACTTAAGGCTGAGATTGATTCTTTATAGTAGAGGAATCAAGGGTATAGGGAAAGGGCAGGAAAGTAGATGTGGGAGTGTCTGATCAGCCATGATCTTATTGAATTGTGCAGGGCTGAATACCCTATTTCTATTCCTTAAGGTCTTAAATTGCCACCTGCAGGTGATTTATATACTTTGAGGGCACTGCAACATATGATACCTGTGGAACACAGTAAGAAAATTTTGAGACTTGTATGATAGCCTCAATGTATTCAAAATTGATAATGTTTTGGCAGTAAGGCTGGTCTGAGAAATGTGGTGGAACTAGTGTTTTCTGTAAACTCTCATATTTTTAAATACATGTTTCCTCCTAAAAATTGTTTTTAAGTAAAACTAAATGGTATTTTGAAAGGCTGTCATCTTCCACCAAAACACAAAACAAAAGACATGCTTACAAAGCTTGTTTTGTTGCACAAAACCTGTGTATTTATCTATTTATATAATTCATCGTTTTATTTATTGAACCTAAATAGTTGTGATGTCCAGATTAATAATAAAAAGATTCTTAGGATTGCATGATTGCAGCAAGCTTATTTCAGTTTATCGTATGAGCAAGAAACTAACTCTGTTTTTGATCGGCCTTGAGATGGTTAAAGAACTATGAAGTTGAGTCCATTTGCACACGTGGTAGAAAGGAGTTAACACTAGCTTTGTAGGCTGCACAACAAAAAGCCATAAAACAGCTTAGGCCCATAAACAGCATCCTGGATATTGCCCCCATCCACTTCTTGAATAACATAGTCCTATTGCAGATTAATATTAAGGTGCACAAGTAATAGACTGGTTAATCAGGAATTTATATCTATCTCTGCAACTTTGGTATATTTTGGCCATATCTTTCTTCCTCATGATTAACTAGATTTTGGTTCTATCTTTGCATTTCCTGATAAGTGGGTTTCAGTGTTGCACTTAAAGGCTGTGACATGCATGTACATTGAGGAACTCTACTTCATAAGACCATTCTCTGTTAATGCATTTTTTTCTTGTCATTTTTCTTTTATTTCTTTCTGAAAATGGTGACACTGGGTAAGATTGTGTTTGTGTTCTGACTGCTTATAAAGGGAAGAAAGATGTGCAAGTATCTTGGCAGTATCAAATCCTGTCTTTGCCCCGATATGCATGCATGTGGCATTTTCAGCAGAGATTGCAAGATATTGACCAGAAATCATCATGGCTACATTTTTTCTCCTCATTTTGTCCAGAGGAACCAATCCCAACTGTCGCATCGTTAATATTACCACTTTTAACTTGGCACCTGTTGTTAGTCAAATTGGGATCATTCTAGCTTGTGCAACTGCTATCTTGCTGGATGAATTCATTACATTGAAAGAAACTGTTTCAAACATTAAACATTAAGATGTAAGAGTTTTTGATAATTTTCACTTATACAGTTAGTATGTTGGCAGAGAAGAGAAAGCTACGTTAAACTGTAGTGTAGGTTTGCCAGGGTGTAATAATAGAAATTCAGAAATTGTTTTTGTATCCCTTCAGTATGTAGAATTGCTTATGCATAAGCAATTGTAAGATACATATGTAAATGTAATGCGTTTTTTTTGACCATTTCATCATGTTTCTTAAATTCTGGTTCAAGTTCTGTTCAAGTTGCACTTTTTAAAAAAAAAAAAAAAAAATTCAAATGAGAATTGACCAAAAAGAAAATTTTGTATAAACTGCAATGTAACAATTAGTACTTAAATCTCAAATCTCAATATTACGTCTTAAAAATAATTAAATGCTGTAGCAGAATTATTTCAGAAATTTTCTGTGCACCTGAGTTTTGAATGAGTTTGCATTAATTCTTTTGCCCAACAGCAGCTAGTGTGGTCAGTAGTAACAACAGTTCAAGTACAGAGTCCATCCCTGTCCAGTGCACAGAAGGAAACCCTGAAATGTCTACAGAAGCCTCTGTGAATACTACATCTGCCAAAACTAGGTATGTCTACCATTTATGAAGATAGAATTGGATTGTGTTGGAACAAGAATGTGACAGTTCTAGAAGTTTTATTTTCTAATCACTCCAGTTCTGTGTTCCCTGCCTGAAGATACTTAGTGGTACTGGAATATGATTTTGCAGTTATCTTACAGCACCTGATAGCTTAGATTTCCTGTCTCTCAGCATGAACTATAGCTGCTTATTTTAACTGGCTACAGAGTTCTAGGCTGTATCTCCATACTGGCTGTGAACCAACCATGGTTCTTCTGTTTGGCATGGGTCAGTTATGTGCTGGTTAAAGTTTCGTCTAATGCAGTTATTGAATGAATGGATCAGGTTTCAAGCTTTCCTTTGCATACTTTTCCTGGGTGTGCTTATATTTACATTCCGGCTCTTTCATTGTTCCTGGTGTATTTTATAAGAAAACTTATATTTTTTTTTTTAAAAATATATACTTGAAAATCTGAAGGATAAGTGGGAGTAATTTAATCTCATGTTTGAGGATTTTCATGAAATGCCTGTAATGTTGGATAGTATTAGGGAAGATGGTAACTTAGTAGTAATGTCACTAGACCGATAATCTACAGGCCCAGGCCAGTGCTCTGGAGCCGCTGTTTGAAATTTCACGCTGGCAACCAGGTTATTTTATGTTAATAAAATCGAATTGAAAGCTATCTTTAATAATGGCAATTGCAAAACTATAATTGTTAAAAACCCATCTGCTTCACCAATGATCTTCAGGAAATGAAATCTCATTCTTACCTCGTCTGGTGTCCTTCCAAGTAACTTAAAATCCACAGTTATGTGGTTGATACTTTATTGTCCTCTAAAATGACCTAGCAAGATGATACATTCAAGGACCATTGGGGCCTTGCTAGTGATGTCCATATTCTAGGAAGGAGTAAAAGAAAAGGTCATTACTTACGATCTGTAGGTATGTTAATATATAGTGTACGTACTCTTGATGACATATTTATAAAACAAAATGTTTATAATCCTCTCCTAGCACTCCAGTAACACAGCAGATGACTGCAATGAGCATCTCTCAAGATGAATCGAGCAACGAGACTGAGGGCACTCTAAAAGCTGAAGTTGTTACAGGATCAGGTTGGTTTTTGTCCTCCAAGATAGAATCACCTGGCAGCTCTCAGTATGAATGAGCAGGGAAAGAATAAATGACCAGTATTGAGAAGCATAGATAAGCATGGGTGGGTGTACTTAGATTGATTTTTTTCTTTAAAAGATCAGTATTTGTGCAAAAGATTCAGTAAGTTGGGAAATAATCATCTAATCTGGTTATGGTGTTCAAAATGACAGAATTTAATAGTACTCCGTACTTGAATTCAACTTTCTCACTTTGGTTCTATCACTTTTACTAGCCTTTCGAGAACAAAGAACCTACTAATGCAGTTTTTCAAATTCCCAGTTGAGTTGAGAGGGAGAATGTTCGATATTTTCAGTTACCTTTCTGTGAAAGGGCATGTCCTGAGATCACTCCTGAGTGGTCGAAGTCTCATTTCAGCTTCATGCCCCCTGATTTTCAACATCTCCACTAGAATTTCTCTCTATCAAGAACAAAAACAGAAGTTGCTGGAAGATTCTTTTTATCAACTCTTTGATCATCTGAAACGTCTAAATTGTATCATCTATTAATTTTCTGTATTCGAGACAAGAAAAGTGCAGTCTATGCAATGTCCTTGAAATTTAACCCTTTAGTGCTGGTGTTATTTTAGTAAGCAATAGTGTTATTTTTAAATATTTCAGCAGCTAAAGCTGATTTTATACTGTAGATCTTATTCTGGAAGTGTGCAGTTCATTCTGTGTGACCTTTTTCTGCAAATGCATTGCTGGTTTATGGAACTAATCTTTGCACACTGAGCTTCCTGAATCTAAACAACCAGTATGAAGTAAGTTGTTTTTTCTTTATATAACCAAACAGTGAAAATAAAAAATCCAGTTGTCAGAACTTGTATTTCATTTTTTTCTCCTGAATCTCTTGTAATTATTCTGCAAGCATTCATCACAGGAACAAACCTATTCTATTGGATATTGTATTTCCAGCTTCTGTGAATGTGGAACCAACAGAAAGTTCCACAGAAGGAGAAGAGAAGGTTTTAGAAAAGTCAAAACCCAAAAAGAATAGATGCTTCACCTGCAGGAAGAAGGTTGGATTAACTGGTAAGGATACTGTCATTTGAAGTTGAGTAGGAGTTAACAGAAGATAAATACTTTCTAAATGTAGGTGCAAAACAATTCCTTGTACTGAAAAAGGCCGAGACTTTGCACCAAGTTTTTTAATCTGTAGCTGTCTTTGTTTCCTGCGTAAGGTGCCTCAAGTAGGGATGCCATTTAGTTAACATGCAGGTGTATTTCTGCATTGCATTGGAGCATTTTCTGTACCAGTATTCAGAGAACAAAAAGATAATGCTGACAAATGGGACTAGATTAATTTAGGATATCTGGTTGGCATCGACGAATTGGACCAAAGGGTCTGTTTCCATGCTGTACAACCCTGACTCTGTGTCCATGCTGGTGTCAACATTAGAAATTTTCATACAAGATGCATCCTTGCAAAATGTTTCATCCTATGAAAATAAGTCATTATTTCTGTGTATATTCCTTCTTTTCAGGCTGTGTTTAAATAATTTAATTGAATCCACTCACACCCAGATTTTTTTCTCCCATTTTTGACTCCAGCCTTTTGAACCCATATCAAGTGGAGTTAAAATACCATTCCAGCACCTAGTGGCATTTGAATTTGAGTAATAAATCGTGGAATATGAAAGTAGTCTGTAGTTGTGACCAAGAAACTATTGTCAATTGTCATTAAAAACTTAGCTGGTTCGTTGTCCTTTCATGAAAGGAAATCTGCCACGCTTATCTAACTAGCCATGAATCTAGATCCACAACAAAGCAGAGCAAGCCACTTAATATACAGACGATTAGGTGTAGCTAGCAAATGCTAGCCTTGTTAGTGAAAATCCATATCCCATGAAAATAAATAAAACATTTTTGGTCTAGTAAATTTGTCTATAATAGACCTGCCTTTAAATAAATATTTCTTAAAATAGCCCCTGCTGAAATAATTTCTAGCCCAGGGTATAGCTTAATTTCAACCCAAGTCCTCCGTGTAATATAAAAAGAAATTTTATTGTTTGAGTACACTATAATACTGGAAACATTTTCCCCCCAGTTTTTAAGATATTTCTGGTATGAGTAGAGGAATAACATTGCCTTTTTTTTTTCTGGGTGACTGGTGTTTGCTTGTTTCTGCTACTGCAAAAGCATTTAATAATTGTTCAGTCCTAAAGTAAGAAACTGCATGTGTCTATCCATACTTCTCTTTGTGCATTGTCGCAAAATTTCCTCTGGAAAGAATTAAGACTGCTGTAAATCGGAATAACATGTACTTAAGGTTTTTTTTCAGCCTTGCAGCCAATATGCCTGACCTTAAAAGGCAATTGATAAAGTGTGATACTCAATCTTGTTCTACAAGTACAAAGGAGATGGTACTGAATTCATAAAATCAGTACTTGTTCTTTTTGGCTATTTCAAGGATCCTGGAGGATTGAGAGAATTCTAGGTTCAAATTGAGAAGTGTTTGTAAATAGCATTCAGGGCTGCCTATTTGAATAGAAATGGTATGCAGGGATATGAGGAAAAGGCAGGAGATTGCCGGTAGGTAATAGAACTGGATTGCAGGCACAATGGACCAAACAGCCTCCATTTGCACCATAACAATTGTGTAATTCTGCAGTGATTGTGTTCTGGTCCACTTGAAGCCTTTTTTTAAAAGCTGATCTTTTTTACTAAAAGCTTTTGTTTAGCCATGCCATTCTGAACTTTTCTTTTCATAGAGCAATTTGCTATGTTAAGGAAGACACCATTGCTATTCCATAAACAAGCATTTATTGACTTAGTCATACAGCATGGAAACAGACCCTTTGGTTCAACTCCTCCATGCTGACCATGTTCCTGAAATAAACCAGCCCAATCTAATGAATGTGGAATGTAAGTTTACTTATATTTTCAAAATAAGTGTTTCCTGTGCTTGCTAACAGGGTCTAGGAACACCCCGACTAGTACAAGTTAGATGAATATTCAAACTATTATTGTACAACTTTGAACTTCAATATCTACATGAGAAATTTCAAATCTTGAAGTTTTTCCTTCCATTTTGCTGACCAGTAAGCTCAGCTGCTACAACCAACTTTTCAGTTCAGACATCCAATAGTGTAGTCTTTAACTCGTTTCTCCAGTAAGCAGGTGTTTTTGTATCTCACCTCCCATTGTGTGCCAGATAATAGTACTAACTGCTAAACTGAAGACCAAGTTGCTGCTTTTTTCTAAAAGGGTTGTCCCTACATCTGTCCCAACAGGATTTGATTGTCGTTGTGGAAATCTTTTCTGTGGACTTCACCGCTACTCTGATAAACACAACTGTCCTTATGATTACAAGGCTGAAGCAGCAGAGAAGATCAGGAAAGAGAATCCCATTGTGGTTGCTGAAAAAATTCAGAAATTATGAACTGCTATATTGTAGCAAGACTTTCAGTGGGAAAATCCAACATGGTATCTTGAAGAGCCCGGCTTAAGACAAAACCTGTTTCTGTGCAAACAAATAGGCATGAGATTGGCAGATGGTCTAGTCAATGGCTTGCTGCTGATGGAAATTTGCTTTGTGGTACAATGAAGAAAACTGTATTATCAAGCATAGAAACTTAACCAGCAAAGGAACAAGGTGAACTGTACCATATGAGCATTCCTTTCTCAGCAGTGGCCTTTTGACTGTGCCTTCTGTCTTAGTAATCTACTGAGATCAAGTCTGCAGGGAACCAGGCCAGTGTACCCATTTATGTGCCTGTAGGTACCTATGCCCCTTTACAGAAACTTGAGTAATGACCTCATTGGCATACTCCTTTTTTTAATGAGCTGTGAACTTGTTCTGTGTGTTTGATCTAGGTGATATGTACCTCTTTTCCCCTCAGGTAATTATCGATATGTTGCACGCATCTGGAGTTGTGCAATACGCTTGAGAATGAATGATGGACTTAGAAGCTACCATGGTACACAAGAGAAGATATTGAAATCAATCCAATAAACTGATTTCATTTACCTCTGTTAATTTTAAAATCTAAAAATTGCAAATATCATACACTGTCCTGTGTATCATGGCTGCTTTTAGGTCAAATAAAGGTGCATTCACTTAGGTAAGTATAGAAATGCTATTCATAACACAATTTCTAAAAAGGTATTTTTTTATGGGTATTTAGGGCAAGCAGGAAGTTAGCCAAAGGGGTCATTACCCAGACAAGTCAGAGGGACAGTATCTCTTTTTGGTTAGTTTGCTGTGTCCTGGGTTTACTGTGATAGATTATATCAACACAACACAAACTACCTTTTTAATATAAACATGTGTGGAAATCTCCACACGATGGCTTTAAAATGACAGGAAAAAAACTACCCAGGCCTGAAAAGTTTGACCTTTTCAGTATTATCGAAATGGCCTTTAATGAATTTTGAATGAATAACATTAGTTCTATTGGAGCCAGATTTATTTTAAATTGAGCCAAAATCAGAGCAAGAAAAAGTGATTCTGCCTCTAATGAGATGTGACACTGGTTCGGGTGTGGTCCGGTTCACTGCACACTTCAAGCTGAGCTACGTGCAAATAAATTGCAGTGTTGCAGTCTTTTACCAGTTTTCTTTTCTTTTAGTAGCTATTTCTGCTTTGATAGTTATTCACTTTGTAACAATGTACAGTTTAAACTTGTAAATGGGTAAGGGATGTGGTGGAAGACATGTATTGATGACTGAGTGCTTTGGGTGCTAGTTGTGTGCTTTTTTCCCTCCATTATTTTCTGCCTTTCTCCTTTTTAATGAAAGTATGATATAAATGATAATATATTGTAGTTTGCTTGAATTGTGTTTTTAGTTATGTTAGTTTAGCTCTGGATTTCTGAAGTTTTGACCACATGTCGTGCACATGCTCCAGTTGTAGCCTTTCACTGTGTATTGCACCAAACCAAGAGACTGATCTGTTAGCATTGTATCAGCTGTCGCTTGCTCATCTGGATATATGAAATTATGGGGGAATTGAGTTGAAATGCTGACCCAACCTCCAACTTTGTGTGTCAAAATCTGATCTCTTGTAATCCCATTGAGAATGATTTGTCAAATTCATTGTTTGCTTAAAATGGAAGTACATTCTTGTGAAATGGCCATAATTGTTATAATCCAAGGTATCATGATGGTTAGCTGGATATCATAAAGGTCAAAGCAACCCAGAACTTTTATTGTGTGGCCAGAACCTCCAAGCAAAATGGATGGTCATATTGGTAAGTTATAAATATCTTTCTATCCAAATTCGGATTATGGGGCAATTAAATAGAATATACTTCTGTTTTAAGCTGCACAAAATCCATGTTATAGCAAATTGCAAAAGTTTTTGTGGTTTGGTCAGATTCCCTCCTTCACCAGTCTTACAACTAACTTCAATTTTATTGAATCAAATGCATAAAATGACTTTACATTTTGTTGGCCTTTGTGCTGGATTCTCAATGCATAAGGGAAGAATGCAAATCTAAATCTGCTGTATTCTAATACACACCAGCAATATTAAGTAGGTGAGACACTTAATTTTTGAAAACAAACTATAGCTCCTATGCAATTGAAATATGTACTCCAATCAAAATGACTTATTTTAAACTGCCAAATGCAACCAATAAAAAGCAGCTTCTTAACAAAGTTGGTTAATGTTAAATGTATTTACAGTATTATAGGAATGCATTAAATCAGATCAGTATTGCACCTCCCCTTTTCCCAGCTGCAACTTTTCAGTCTCATGGAATTGCTGTAAAATGTCACCTTGCATCCCAATTTTAGGTTCTGGTGATATATAAACTTGAGGGGATCACTTTGGACACCAGTTTCTTTGTCAACCTTTATTTGGTCCATTTTTGGTTTTGTCTCCAGCAATCCAAGATACTCCTACAAAACTTTGTGACCTAATTTTAGTTGTGCACATTTTTGGTGTGATGGGGTTAAGTGTTTTAAAAGCAACCCCAGTGCACCATTGTTGACACTTACTACTAGTGCACCTTGCAATAGAGTTATACTTGTTGGGAATTGCATACAAGTATGTTGTACCTCCAAATTTTAAAAATGCATCTTGCATTTGTAAAAGAATTATGAAGATGTAATATTTTGCAAAAGAATATTCATTTTTTTGGATGGTGGCAGTATCATACCAAGCCAACTCTACAGAGAATTAAAGAATACAAACCAGCCACCATGTTTTATTATGAAACGTTCGTTTTAAATCCGCGAATTTGCTTCAATGTAAGAGGTTGTCTGTCTTGAAGTAATCTTTTTACAAGCTTTTAAAAGCTGATTAAACAAATTTTCTTTGTACTGTATAATTTATAAATTCTGAGCCCACTTATTTTTGGGTGTTTCACGTGCATTGTGATTGTGAACAGAAGTAATAGACACTCACTTGTTAATCACATTTTTTGAGTATTTTGTTTTTCTTGTACTGCTTTCTCATTTCCAATACCTAATTGGACTTAGTGTTATCAAGCAACTTTGTTATATATGTCCTCTCTGAACTTCTGAAGATGTTGTCCATCCACAAAATGAATGTTGCATATGCAAACCAGATTAATTTTGAAAGGAATCTTAGCCAATCAAAGTACCAGTCAGTTAATTCACAATTCTTGTTTAATTGTGGCACCAATGATGAAAATGAGACTTCTAATTTAAGTCTGATCCTATTAACTTAAAGTTTTTGTTTTCTTTGAAAAATGTATTTTCCAGTAATATGAAGAAAGCATCTTAATAAAACTGCACAGAGGTTTTGTTCAGCACAGTTACAGTGTGAACTAACTAAGTTCAATTGAATCCAAGACTGTACATGGCACCTTTTACTGTGGCTCTTGAACATCCTGAAGTGCGTTACGTGCAATAAAATACATTTGAAGTGATTATCTTGCTTACTAGCAACTTTCCAGAAAGAAGATGCTCACAAACAGCAGATGGATGAATAACCGTTTTGTTTTGAGGCAGAGGTGATTTTAAGTGGAATATTGACCAGAAGATGGAAAGAGCTTCCTGGTTGTCTTCAAAATGTGGATAGGATTTTTAATGTCTGCTTGAACTGGAGACTAGCATTTGGAGTTGCAGTTCATGATCTCCTTTAAAGATATTTTCTCCAACAGTGCTGCATTCCCTTGCAGTGTCGGCCTAAATTGTGCTCCAGTCCTGGAATGGGTTTGGAATGAATGAGTTTTTCTGGGGTCACAAGTGTTGGCCAGCTCCATAAACTTCTCAGTTTGAAAAGGCCTATCTCCCTGACTTTGTTCTTGTTAAATTAGTGCTATTAGCAATTAAATATAATACGGCAATGTATAAAAGTTCAGCAAGCTGTCAGTATCAGGAATTGCTAAAATGTCATTATGAACGTCATTTTTGTTGGTCTGTATCTTTTTTAAAAAATATTAATATGTGCCCTTTTCTCCTCATTGAAAATTACTTAGTGTGGTATAATGTTTTATATGCTGGATGTTTTAATATCAGAATATGATATGGAATTCACTTGCAAATTATGAATTATAGTTTTCAGATATATAATCCTCGTTGTTTCTCTTCACCGATATTTCTATAACATGCTTTTTCAGTCTTTTGACCTAATGCAATCATACCATCACCTAAAAGACTCCAAAAGAATCCACATTCATTTGAGGGGGGGGGGGGAAAAAACTTCTCTCCACTGTTGGGGTTTTTTTTTTTAGCTCCGCTTTTGGAAAGCTTTTTTAACAAATTCCCCCCACCAACATGATTAACAATCTGCCACTGTTTTATTTCCCCCTTCTCCATCTCCAACTTGTCTTCTCTTCTCCCTCTCCTCTTTTCTCTTCTGGCCATACACCTGCTGCCACAGGACATTCAGTAATGTCACTCCTTCAGCTGTCTGGAAATGGCCATTAATTTGGAGCTGATGAAGCTTTCTGAATAATGGATTTTATGATGTTATAGTGGAATGATGTGTATTCAATTAAAAGAAGCTTTTTTTATAGCTGTCTTTCCATACACAGATTTCTACAATGCACTCTTAAGTAACATAATTATGCAGTTAGGTCAGCAAAGGAGCCAATTTTTTGACAATCTTCTTTTTTGAAATTGCAAAAGTTGCTGAACTTTTCATACACTTGCATTATTAATTTGCTTACTGGTGCTTATTAGATTAAGAATAGTTTTTGGTAAATGAGCTTGCCCCCGTGCATGTAATTGAATTCTGAGCAATGTATATTAAGCTATATTGTAAATGTTTTTTGGAGTTGCTTAGAAAAAGTGAAAACCTGCAGCTGTTAGTATTTTACATTTAAATGCAAAGTGAAATGGGCCACCTGTCTTTGCCTGACATGAAGATGGAATTTTATTCATTTAAAGATTCAATTGCTGAATTTGAGACTTGTATTAAATTTTATTTTCCAGTAACTAAAACTGTTATTAATGATAGATACTGGCAATATAGTGAGATCTTACCCTAGTTTACTAAACTGTTCCATACTGCCGATTCATGCAATGAGTTGAAACTGTGAAATACTTGGTTATCTAATTGTTGAGTTTGAAATTCAGAGAGGTGCTGTTTTGCCAAGCATCTGTGCAAGTACTTACTCAAAATGCAGTGCCCTTGCATTTAAATTTTTTTAAAGAATCTTGTCAAACACATTAACATGGTTACGTTTCAGATTCTCTTTTAAAATTCTAGTTATTTTGAGTAAGGGACATAACAAGCACATACCTGTCCATCAGACACCTGTTCAGAATGTGAAATTTACATATTGTAAATTGAAACTTGTGTTATGCATAGTTACCAAAATACTCTTGGGGTTAATTGAGGTTTTACGAATTGTTGAAACATTTTTTGGCTTTTCTGAAATCCCTGATTTATGTACATGCTGCATTAATTGTAGTGTGGTTAATTTTACCTATAAAAGTGCTATCCATATTGCTTAGTATATAACTTGAGGCATGTGTTAACATTGACAGTAGTTTTCATGTATATTTGAGGTGCAGCATTTTTTTAACACTCATCTGCACAGATTTTTATTTCAGTTCCTTGTATTTTTCAAGTTCGAACGTCGATGAGTCTGTATGATCTTTTGATGGGCTAGATTCTGAGTGGAACTTAATTGCAGCTGCTTCACGGTAGGAAAGAAAAAAATTAGTGAAAATGAATTGATGTGAGTACATGCCTAAGAATCTTCAAAGGCTGAAGTTCAAATTGTCTTAGTAGAATCTTTTCCATGTTTAGATTGACAGTGCTGGAAGAGATACCTACTGCTTTTCTATGTTGACAAATTCAAACTGATTAGTAGTGAAGTCCGGACATTTCGTGAGTTCACTTAGCTTGGCTTGGAGACAGCACTGAATTCAACTAGCGTTCCCCTTTGCTGTGATAAAATGTGGCAAATTTAGCAACTGAAATAGTTGTGGCATGTTCAGTGCTGTTAAGAACTTGCCTAATTCGATTTTCCTCTGTACTTCATATTTATTCAGAAGGGCTTGGGTGAAAAGCAAGTTGATTTTCTGTACTTGGCTACTTGATAGGAATATTAATGCTGTAGAGGCACACTGCATGTTGGCTAGTTAGATCCCCAGTCACAGAATCTGAGGCAAGTTGTTTTTTTTTGTGAAGAGTAGTTTTTGTTTTGTGATGAGTCACATGAATAAATGTTCAAAATGGAACCAAGCTTCCATGACCATTTTGAACGTGGAAATGGATCTGTATATTTATTGATGAAAATGTGGCACTCCTTCTGCAAAAGCTGGTTGGTGATGTCTGGCTGTGGCAAAATATCACTACATATTTTGTTTGCCAGCTGAAAACTAAGCAACATGGATAGTTTTAAATAAAAGAACTTATTTCATGAGTACCCTGTTTTTAAAGTACTATTTTCAACAAGCTTCTGGTTTTACTTGCTGCATGCACTGCATTTACTTTAGTTATTTTACAGTATATTGCATTTATTGTACATTAATTGTCACTAACTCTAGGATTTTGAATTTGTACAGAGCACACTTTTATTATATTCAAGTAATACATATGTTTCAGCTTGTGTTTGGAAATGTTGTAATGTGTAAATAAACTATTGTACAGTTATGAACACTATGTATAGTTCCTTTATTTCCCCATTTGTCTGCAAGAAAATTGCAACTAGTTAGTTTTCAGTTGTTAATGGCCATATAATTAAAGTAATAAAATGGTTCATAACATCTTGAACATCTAAAGGTTCAATCTATTCAATGCTATTATCAAATATTCCCAGAAAACCTTAGGTCTGATCTAAGGGAGGAGAGTGAATTGTCAAAGTTCGCTTTTTAATTATTTACATACAAAATGAATGACCTTTACCATTGGTGTAACTGAAACCAAAGGTTATTGGACAGGAGTGTGATCTTGGTAACACAAACTGCTTACTGACCTATAAGTAGAACGTGGTACATTTAAGTATTGCATTTCCCACTTGAGTTTTGGGAATTATTTTTGAGAATTAGTGATTTCAGTGTTCAAAGTTATTTGTACAAGGACTTGACACATTCGCCATAAACGTTTTGGCTCCACATTGATTTTAAGCAGACCTGATTTGATGACTACCATTTTTAGCAGCAAGCGTGAAGGTTCCTCTAATAGACTGTGGATGTTGGCAAAATACCTACATAAATCCAACTTGATTTCAACAGTGGCTTGGTCAATTAAGTATACTTCCAATAATACCTTGCACTCTGACTCAATGAAGTGCTTCATTGATGTAAAAAATTTTGTTATGCAGCTTTAGAATTCTATCTACTTCACAGCTGTTGATGAATATCCTTGCTCAGTTGTTGGTCATGCCTGCTAGAACATTGCATTCAGCTTTCAATTGGCTTGCTAAAAAGTACAGTACCACTTTTACCTCCAAGTTCCCAGATGGGTAACAGTCTTCAATGACTGCACAGTTTAGCAACAAACTTGAGTTTGTGTACAAGTAATGTCGGGACTTCAGTGATTCAATAAGAGTAAACCTTTTTATTTAAATTATTCTTCTATCATTATAAAACTTAAGAGCATTGCACATGCATGTTTATGAAGCAAAATTTGGCTTCAAACAATGTAAGATTTTGGCACTGATGAGCAAAAACTTAACCAAGAAGTAGGTTTAAAAGGAGGCTCAGGTTAGAAATTCTAGATATTGAAATGCTCAGCTACTATGATTTAAGGAAATTGTGCGTCCCCAGCAGGTCAGAATTGGATCATCAAAAAGTTGTTTTGAGGGCTGCAGGATGTTAGTGATGGGACTAAGAATGATAACACCAGGTTTTGAAGTTTGAAATCTAGTATTGTTGGACTGGACAAATATAAGACAGTAATCAGAATTTGGTGAGTCAGGGTACAGGTAACACTTCTTTTGAACAAACATCTGAGATGGTAGGCCAACCATGAAAGCATTGAAATAGTTGAGCCCTGAGGTGGATGATGCTTTCAGAAGCAGATAGGTTGAGGTGGGGAAGAATCTGGTACTCTTAAAAGTGGAAGTAGATAATGACGGAAGGAGTGAATGGAAAGTTCAAAGGCATGTCAAGGTTGATAACAGTAGGGAACTGAAATTGACGGTTTCATCCTTCGAAGTAAATATTAGGAAGAAATCCCTGCTTATCCAAAACTGGACATTGGATGAGCATCATAACGATTCGGCTGCAGTGGTAGGGTTGAAAGATGGCACTGAAGTAGAGACATTTCATCAGTGTACATTTGCAGTCTGTTTTCATTGATGCTATGGAGACAGCATGTAGACGAATTGGAGAGGGCAAGGATAAATTGGTAACTATAAGACCATTGTGGCAAACAGCACCAACTGAAAGTGACTTTGTAAGTGACTTGGATATTTTTGTAGAAGGAAGTGGAGTAGATTGGATGAGTTCATTGGGAGATGAGGAAAACAAGGAAGTTACAAAAGTGCTTTGCTTGTGATAGAGACTGTTATAGTAAAGGTTGGCAGTCAGTCAGGAGGAGTACATTCTCCAGGTTTAAACAAAATACTGGACAAGGTCCGGCTAGTAGAACAGAGCTATGACTTTGCATTTCTTAGTTTGTTTCTTTTTCCAACAGTTCCCATTTGATATCACAAAGATTTTGATTTAAAATAAAGTCCTTTTGAATGTTTGGTTATGAATTGATTTTCACTGATATTGTTTTTGCCCAAAATCGTGTTTGTCATCTGATGCAAATATGATGGGCCAAATAGCTACCTTCTGTACCACTTTTTGTTTCTTATTTATTTGTTGCTCTTTCCCCAGTTTACCTCTTTTAGACTTTTCACTTCTCACTCCCTGCTTGCAGATTTGGATTCTGAACCTATGAGAGCTGTGGATTTTGTTTCCTTTTTTTTACTACCCTGTCCATCCACAGCCTCATTCCTTTTCAATTCCTTAGTGTAAGGATGTTATCAGGAAAGGGATGGGAGTATTAACAAAATCAGACTTGCTGAACCTAATAGCAAGCGTGCTTTGAGATGTATTTTAACTGATACAATTGCTTCAGTAACAATTTGATGTTACTGGATAAGTGGATAAATTAACTGGGAACATAAAATTAGTCTTGAATGCATATATAAAGTCATGGCTGATGTACTAGACTTCCCTGTTCCTGACCTGACTCCACTTCACTTCTCTATCGTAAGGGCGGTTTTATGTGATTTGAGGCACCTCCCAATTTGCCTGTTATTTTCACATGGCACGTTTCACTAAACAGCCTGAATGCTTAGAATGTTTGATTATCTTGCTTGCTGTAGCTGGATAAAAGGAGTTTAATTGCATAATTGTGTTTTAGTGTACAAGACATTGCTTTTTAAGCACAAATGCCGTAACATCCTTTTTATATTGTCCAAATTTGTCTTTTTTTTAAATCACGTTTGCTAAAGCTATTAATTTGGAAACCAAATTGACAAGGACCTTGGGTATTCTAATGTGAAAATTTGATTTTATGTAAATATATAGGTCTGAAAGGATTGGTACTTGAATGTGCTCTGATCCTGGATTAGATCACTAAATCTATGTTGAGATCTGGCTAGGGGTAGTCAACCTTTTTAAAAAGTTGACAAGGTGAGATTCAAGACACTTAAGAGAATAAAGCCACAAGATTCCATGGCTTTCAAAATCTAATTAAAATTCTACAAGGGATTCCAATTCAATATTGAAGACCTAGCTTTCAAGCTCCCTCAAAAGCTGTTTCTTCATTGACCATCTGAATAATTGCTCATATTTAGGTAGTTTACTCTCCCAATTTGGACTTTGCTCTCCAAGTGTTCTGGAAACTGCACTCCAACACTTACTCTTAGGCAAAACTTCAACTTTTCACAGGCGATTAGCTTCATCTAGCCTGTACTGCTGTGTTTTCTGAACTCTAACTTTGTTCAGCTGCACGAAACACCTCTTAACACCTGTTGATTCCAGAGTTGACAGGGTTGGATTATGAGGAGAGACTGAGTAGACTGGGCTTATACTCATTGGAATTCAGAAGAATGAGGGGAGATCTTATAGAAACATATAAGATTATGAAGGGAATAGGTAAGGTGGAGGCAGGGAGGTTGTTTCCGCTAGCAGGTGAAACTAGGACTAGAGGGCATCGCCTCAAAACAAAGAGAAGCAGATGTAGGACTGAGGTCAGGAGGAACTTCTTCACCCAAAGAGTTGTGAATCTGTGGCATTCCCTGCCCAGTGAAGCGGTTGAAGCTACCTCGCTGAATGGTTTTAAGGCAAGGCTAGATAAATTTTTGAACAGTAAAGGAATTAAGGGTTATGGTGAGTGGGTGGGTAAGTGGAGCTGAGTCTCAAAGATCAGCCATGATCTTATTAAATGGCGGGGCAAGCTCGAGGGGCCAGATGGCCTACTCCTGCTCCTAGTTCTTATGTTCTTATGCTTCATGCACCCTTGCGCTCAGCTGCACTAGTAATGAATTGAGGGTTGGTTGGCTGAGTCCACTGCCTATTTTGAACTGCATTGTGTTGCCAACAACCTGTGTTCGATTCCTACACGAGTTGACCTTACCATTCGGGAGTAGTACTAGAGACTGGCATCATTGTTCAAATTTGGTATCACCGGGGAGAGAAGATAATTAAAGTTTTGATATTGCAAAATAGCACAACTACACATTTGAATTTGCATAAGAATTTTAAAGTTCTAAATATAAAATGAATTTGCTGACAACACCATTTGCTCGAGTCTTGCAGAAGATATACATTGTATTGGGAATTAATATTCTATTATGTGCAAAGAATAGAAATTGCAGATGCTGTTGTCAATTTCTTTCTTAGTTTCTTTTCTGAATAAAAATGAATAGCTTAAATCTAAAATTCTGCCTGATTTAAAACGTTATTGCTAAAGTAGCATTTGAAGATTTAGACTACAGATTTTGTGGCTGTGGGGATGGGCAGCTCTCATTCTAAATCACACTGATGGTTTTCAAAGCATTTTGAGAAGCAAAGAAACTTAAATCATGTTACAATATGCAAGTTGAATGATGAGGAAAATCATACTGATGAAATGTACCAAATTCTGTTTAGTACATATAATTTAGATCTTACTTGGTGGCCCCTTTCAGCTGAGTACTGAATTAAATCTTGATGGTATTCAAAGGTGGCAACCATGTAATATTTTTGAATGCTTCCATCATGCTGTAAACTTTATAGTGAAACTAGAGTCATCAGACAAGAGGAAAAATATTCCTGGTGCAAGGATGGAATCGACAAAACAGCATTTCGGATGTCACAATTCTGTGATAAACCAATAAATTGCAGTTTTTTTTTTTTTGTAAAACAAAATTAGCAAAGAAAGCTAGTCATTTTTTTTTCTTTTCTTCTCTGACCTTGAGATAATTGACCTTCATTGTCAAGAAGGCAAGCCAAGTAGCTGTCAAATGTTGAATAAATAGCAAAACGGTTTGGGTAAGAGCTGGGAAGTGAAGAATGAAAACACACAGTTACCATAAAGTGTGAGAAAATCTACTGGAAAATTGAACCCTTGCCTATAAGACAAAACCCCCATTACCACCAAACCCCAGAAATAGTTTGCCCTGTTTAGTGAGTGCCCTATACTTCAGATGTTCAGCTAGCCTATGTCTTGTATGGA